TTTTTTTTTTTTTGGTACTAGGAATTGAACTCATGACCTCATGCTTGCCAGGCAGATGCTGTGCTGCTGAGCTATATCCCAGGCCCTTTTTGCAGGTTTTCTCAACTGGAAATCCTAGACATAGCTAATTAACTTGCAGTCTAATAAAAACATATACTATCTTTTAAAATCTCTTGCTTTAGCCCTGGCAATTAAAAAGTCATAATTAAAGGTGTTTTAGATACCACAGCCAAAATATCCCCAACACTGCCAGTGACTTATTGGTCTAATGATCCCTTTGGGGATCAAGAATTATTAATTTCCTTATCTTTCTTCCATTCCAAATTCATTTGATTTTCATCTGTTTAAGAAAATTTGGTCATTGCCTTGTATAATTATGATTGTAAAATTTGGTAATCACATTGAAAGTTGATAATCACATCTTGCTCTGCTAGCCTTCCACATTCTTGGATGATAAAACTCAATAATAGCAACAACAAATCATTTCTCTCAGTCTGCAGACTAAAGCGGGCCTTACAGTCCTCTCGGAGGGTGAGTCTCCCTGACAGCCCAAGTCAGAAGTGGCTGTAGAAATGGAGAGCTTTTGCTTTCAAGCAAAATTTCATAGAGAATATTCTTCTAGTAATAGGATTATTTTCTCCTTGAGAGTAAAGCCTGCTCTTGCCAGTTGTCTGCTTTCTGCATAAGTATCCTGTGTGAGAGACACCAGCACTTCAGTGGGGAGGGCCGGGAGGGGCAAAGTACTAACAGGATAGCATTAGGCCTGTCATGTAGAACAGTATCCTGAGGCTCAGAAAGGTTTAGACACTTGTTCAAGGCCACACAGCTCTTACTTGAACTGTGGTCCATATTTTCAAAGTGTAAAACTCCCACAACCTCCCTTCCATCTGCGGAGTATCTTAACACGGTTGCATAAAAAGAGCGTTAGTCAGTCTCGCCTTACAACAGAGCACAGGATGGACTTCTCAACACTGATGGCTGGAATTTCTCAGCCTCTGCACACTGTGAACCCAAACTGGCTCCTTTCCAGCACAGAAAGAAGCAAAAAGCAGGACAGAGAGGCCAAAGCATCCAGACGCCAGCCACTGTCCTTGAGGTGAGCACGGCAGCAAGCCAGAGGACATTTCAGCTACACATTCAGTCACTGGATAAACTGCGTTGAAATCCATGTAACACTGTCTCCCATCAAGACTATTTTCAAGTGCAAAGTCCAGTGACTCAGAGTTCATTGCCACTATTGTCATCGCCACCACTGTCCGTGTCTGCAAAGCCTGTCACTGCCCCACACCGAAATTCTACCATTAAGCGCTTCCCCCCCTTTGCTGCCCCACCTCCGGCAAGCGCCACATCGTTTTCCGTTTCGGTGCATCTTCCTGCTCTGGGACTCATGCAGTTTTCTCTCGGTGACTGGCTTAGCATGTCACTTGGGATACTCAATTTTAAAAAAATAACACAGCCAGCTGTTCTAAGGGCTTGTTGTAAGGTGCCTATACGGGAACCCTGGGACCCTTCAGATCTGGAGTGGATTCCATTCCATGCTCTGTCCCATCCATCCCATGGGCAAAGGTAGGTGTCAGACCTGTCTCTTGCACCAAGAATGCCTTAATGAATCCCTACAACACATGGCACAAGCAGGGTGGGGAGGCACATGCAGAACACACTCAATCATACTCTCCTAGTTTAGAATCTGTTTCTAGCACTTGTGAGCTTGGGAGCCTGATTAGCTTCCCAGGATGCAGAATACGGAGTGGAAGAATTCTCTCACTCACTGTAAAATACTGGCTGTATGTCCAGTGGAAAGCGAGACTGATCTGAAACTGCTGTCATGCCATCAATACAAAGCATTCTTCATGAGTAAGAGGTGTAGTGCAGCCATCTACATTTTGAGAAATATAGACCTTGTTTGAAAAGGAGCTATATGACCATGGGCCAGCGAGCAAAACTCTGAATCTGTATACTTTTTTACAGAACACGCTCTCATTTCTGTTGTGAGGATGAAATCAGCTAATGCCGGTGTCTGGACTGGAGAAAAAACACTTCAAGGTAGCATCACGACAAAGTCAAGTTGCATTCCGGGCATCGCATCAAGCAGTGGGCCACTGTTGCTTTATTCTCTTGTCTGATGGAGTCTGCATTTCGGGGAAACACAAGGGAGCGAGGGAATTCAAGAGGGAGCAGAATGACGGTCGATCAGCAGGCCTGAGAAGGATACTTGTGATTACTGAGGAGAGTTTTTGTTTCTGTGATTCTAGGCTGTGGACCCTAAAACATGGCGGCCGCAAGCAACGTGACTGAAATCCTTTTCTTGGGATTTTCCCAGAACGAGAGTGTGCAGACGGTCCTTTGCGTGATGTTTCTTCTCCTGTACACAGCTGTTGCCCTGGGCAATGGTTTCATCGTGGTGACCATTGTGGCCAGCAAAGGGCTGGCCTCCCCCATGTATTTCTTCCTCAGCTTCTTGTCCTTGGTGGAGCTCTGTTACTGTTCAGTCACAGCCCCCAAGCTCATCTTTGACTCTTTCACCCGGAGGAGAGTCGTTTCCCTCAGGGGCTGTGTCACACAGATATTTTTCCTCCATTTCTTTGGCGGCACTGAGATCTTTCTGCTGACGGTGATGGCCTATGACCGCTACGTGGCCATCTGCAAGCCCTTGCACTATGCCACCATCATGAGCCGGTGGGCCTGTGGCCTCCTGGTGGGCGCTGCCTGGGCTGGGGGCTTGCTGCATTCTGCAGGGCAAACCTTCCTCATTTTCCAGCTGCCCTTCTGTGGCCCCAACATCATTGACCACTACTTCTGTGACGTGCACCCCGTGCTGAAGCTGGCCTGCTCAGACACCTTCCTCACCAGCCTGCTGATCATCCTCAACGGTGGCTCCATCTCGGTGGTCAGCTTCGCGGTGCTGCTGGCCTCCTACGTGGTCATCCTGTGCTCCCTGAGGAGCCGCAGTGCGGCTGGGCGGCGCAAGGCCCTCTCCACCTGCGCCTCTCACCTGTCAGTTGTGGCCCTCTTCTTCGTTCCCTGCTCCTTTGTCTACATGAGGCCCTGTGTCACCCTCCCTGTGGACAAGGTAGTGGCTGTGTTTTACACGGTGGTCACACCCCTCTTAAATCCAGTCATCTACTCCTTCAGGAACACTGAGGTGAAAAATGCCATGCAGAGACTCGTGAGGAGGAGTGCGACCTGGGAAGAGAAATAGATGACTGACTGATGCAAAATAGGGAGAGTCGGGGCTGGGAAGTCGGGGCACCAAAGAGCTCATGCAGCCTCTCACCTCGGGCCACTTCCTGCTTTATTGACACTTCAGTCTCTCTTCTTTATGGGACCGGACAAGATGGAAAGGGTCTCCAAGATGGAGTAAAGGGAGTCTCCTACTGTGGCAGTGGCCTTGAGGCAGATCAGTTGCTCTGGAGGGGATGGACTTTTCCAGAAAACAGACCTTCTTTTCTCCTTTCTCCCCTCCCCTCCCCCTACCTTCTCTCCCCTCCTCCATTCTTTCTCTCTTTCTTGGCTTTTGACATGGGTCTAAGTGGCTAAGTCACCCAGGCTGGCCTTGAAATTGGCATCTTTCTGCCTCAGCCTCCCAAAGTGCTGGGATTGCAGGCGTGCAGCACCTTGCCCAGCTCATTAACATTTTGCTCTCTCTAATTCTCCTCTGTTCCCTCTTGTCTGAACTTCTTTTGCTTCTGGTTTTCCCTCCTTCAGCCCTTGGTTTTTGAGCCCCTACTTTCCCAGTCTGGTGGCCTCTTGGCTTCTTCCCCTTGGCAGTTGCTCAGCAAAGCCCGGAACCTCCCTGCCCGACACCACTACCGCACTTGCGGCATCATGCCCACGGCTCCTGCTGTGGTCAGGGTTTGCGAGGAAACAACTTACTACAGGACACATAATTTGTAGGATTATAATAGTCACTCAAAGAGTCATAAACAGAGTGCAGGAAATCTGTGCACACACTAAAGACCCAAAGAGTCCAGCTGAGGGCCTGGATCCCACGGCAATGTCCATGAGTCCAGCTGAAGATCTAGTGTCCCTGACAATGTCTCATGCAAGTCCGTTTCACGGATTTGCCTTGGGAAAGCCCAAAGGTCAGTGGTGGAAGCTAGAAAGTCTGCCAGCAGGATGAAAGATCTGTGCCAGCAGGCTGAGGGATCTGCCCTGGAGCTAGGAAGCAATGCTCAAAGTAAGGACCAGAGCTCCCCCGAAAAGTACCATAGCTATCTTCAGTGATAACAAGGTTTCCAGCTCCTCCAACTATGAGAACAGTTGAGTTCATATCAGGAAAGCCAGCACGACAAGCTTCTCCAGGAGGCTGAATAATGTACCACCTTCCCCTCCTGAGCCAGGAAGTGATGCTCAAAGTAAGGACCAGAGCTCCCCCAAGGTGAACCGTAACCATTCTCAGTGACCACAAGGTCCTGAGCTCCTCCAACAATGAGAACAGCTGAGTTCATATCAGGAAAGCCAGCATGACCACCTCCTCCAGAAGAACCCACAGCCCCAGGAGAACCAGCAGCTTCTCCAGTTCTGCCTCTTATGTTGTTGGCAACAATACTCAGGTGGGCTCCCCTTACCTAGCACCACACCAGCTCAGTTCAGCTGGGCATTACAAGTTGACCACCAGTTGTCAGTCCACTCCAACTCCACTCCTCTCCACCCTTCCTCTGAGAGCTGCCTGCAGGGTCAAATGTGCGTAATTTCACTGCTGTTGGTCCCTCCTATTTTAGCCATCTTGTATTTATTTGAGTCTCATTTCCAGCAGCCACCAGACCGTAAGATTTACCCCCAAATCCTAAGCCCAACCCTGCCCCTCGCTCTCAGCAGATGCCTTTTCTCTCATAAGCTTCTGGACCAATCAGACCATTCTCTGGTGTCATCACCTGCCAACTAAAAAACTTGAACGACTCCCCTTACCTTCTGAATTGACTATGAACTCCTACTAGTCAGGAAATACCCTCCACGCATGACCCTCTCTTCCTGTTCGCCTTTCCTTTCAGTCGCACTCTGTCAGGGCTGTCTCCGAAGATCCCTTGTACCTGGCACCAGTGCTGTTTCCCTCATCCCTCCCTCTGAGCATCCTACCTGCTTTCCAAATCCCAGCTGAAACCCTTCTGCCTTTAGGAAGTTTTCATGAACATCCTCTCCTGGCGCGTCCTTCCTTTTATGAATTTGTACAGGGCTTGGAATCTTTTGAGGTCGTCACTACCCTTATATTCTTCTGCACTGAACCTCGACTCCTCCAGCACAGGCCCTGAATATTACACACCTTTGTGTCTTTCTCACAACACATAGTCCCCTCCCTACCAGGAAGCCAGGCTCTGACTTCTTGCATCTAGCTAATGGCTAGTTCAATATCTATCTAACATGCAGTATGCATTCAATAAATACTCACTGAGTGAAGAATAAAAAATATACCTGTCCTCGGTGTCTCAGCAAGACTGAACTCCTGAGACCTTTCCCCAAAACATGTTCTTCCAGAAGTCTTCTATCTCACTTGGTAGCAGCTGAGTGCTCAGCCGAAAGCATCGGGGTCCTCCCTCATTCCACTTCCTCTCACATCTCACATCTGCTCCACTAAGAACTGCTTTTGTCTTTACCTGCAACATGTAACCAGATGGTGCTGCTTCGCCATGTCTCCACAGGTTCCATAATCGCCTCTCACTTGCTCCTGGCTGATCTCCCTGTTCTCCCTTATTCTTCCCCTACCAGCCCCTGTCTAATCTATCACCAGCGCACTCTCCTGGAGGTCTGCAGTGCGGCTAGCATCACTCAGAGTGAAAGCCAGAATCTTTAGCTCACATGCAGCACTCTACACAACATGGGGCCCTTTGCTCCCCCGGCCTCCTCTCCTCCCATCTGCTCCTCACTCCACCCTTTTCCCAGCACTGTGGCCTCCTTACTGTTCATCTAACACATAAGGCTCACGGCCATCTTGGCATCTTGGTGCTGGACACTCTTTCCTCTTGGAACACCATACCCCTTGATATCTACTGGCCAACTTCCTCGGCTTCCTGAAGGCTTTGTGTAGAAAGCACTTTTTAAAGGGCAGTTTGACCACCAGTTTAAAGTTGTAGCCTCACAGGGGCACTGGTCTCCCTTGTGTTGCTCTGCTTTTTCTTCTTTTCATAGTACATAGCACTTTTACATGTACTGTTTAATTAATTTGTTACACACATAGTGTCTCATCTGTCTCCTGCGGTACAGTATGAGGCCCATGAGGACTTGTGGTTCTCTTGCCTCAGCCTCTCAGAGTGCTAGGATTACAGTCATGCATCGCCATGCCCAGCTAGTATTTCTTGATTGAATGAATGAATGAATAAATTATAGCTATAGAGGATAAAAATAATGACAGTAACTTGTCCATGTACAGGGCTTTATAATTGCACACTGTCATATTCACTGAGCTAATATGTGCCTGACATTGCTTAACCTCATTGCATATATTAAGGTCAAGAGGAACTCTGGGGGAGAAATGACCCTCAGGGGCTACTAATCCAGCCACAAACTGGGAAACTTCCCATTTTGTAGAGCACACAGGCTTAGCATGTCCGGTTTGATGCTTGTAATGAGGGCTGTCCTCTTGGCCCTTCTCTTGCAATAATCACACCTCTGTCAAGCCTTCATTCACTCCATATTTACTGAGCGTCTGCAGTGAGTGGGGCCCTGGGAATGCACATGCAGGAAAAGGAAGGCGTAGTCTTGAGCTTCACAATGGTTACAATCCAGGGGGATCTTCTGAAGAGCTCATTTCAGAAAGCTGGGAGCGTCTGTGATGCAGGGATTCCAGAAAGTTCACGGATCTCATCTACACAATGGAGAGAAGCACTTCCTCAGTCCTTGGTGTTGTCTGACACAGTGCTTGATTAAGTCTGTTTCCTTCTCTGTTATGATAGGCAAACCTCTTTTCTTCTTCATGTCATGATCTCAGCAGACAAGTAATGAACACTTATAGGTTTTTCCAGAGCAGAGAGAAGCAAAACAGAACAAAATGCCTTTATTGCGGATGCAGAGAAAGCCACAGGAAAGAGAAAAACGTGGCCTCTACCGCTCTTTCATGGGGTCCAAGGTGAAATAGCCCCAGGCTGGAAGCGGGGTTTAGGAGGCACACTGCCTGACATGGCAGACCAGGACTGGGTGGGAACATGGGAAAAGGGAACAGGGTATTACAAAAAGGGAAGTAGGATGTTGTAATTTGACTCAGTGGAAGAAGGGAGGGGCTTAGCACATGGCCTCTAGTGGCTAGCGCCATATTGGCTGGATGCCATAGTGACTCAGCACCATACCACATGACCTCCAGCGCCATATTGGCTGGGTGCCATAGCAACTCAGCAGGAATTACAGCGGGGCAAGAAACCGATAAAACACAAGCACGGCTGTCTTCCCCAGAATTGTGAAATGAATTAAATTCATGAACCAAGGTACCACTGTAGTTATTTTTCATAGTTCAGAGTCCAAAGTCTAGGTGCCAGCAGATTAGAGGTCTGGTGAGGGACTACTTCCTGGTTCACAGGTGGCCATCTTCTTGCCTTGTCCTCTACTTCCTGGTTCATAGACAGCCATCTTCTTGCCATGTCCTCAGGGTGATAGGGTTAAGGGAGCTCTCTGGGTCTGTTTTATAAGGGCATTAATTCCATTCACAAGGTCTCCCTGCTCTCATGACTGAATTACTTCCCAAAGGCCTGATCTCCAAATGCCCTCATTATAAGGATTAGGATTTCGGCATAAGACTTTTGGGGTAGACACAAGCATTCAGTGTGTATTTACCCCTATAGCAGCGATGGTGAACCTTTCAGAGACCAAGTGCCCAAATTGCAACCCAAACCTGTTTATCACAAAGTTGCTAACAGTGCAATTAAATCTGAATACTGAAGTTTCAGTTTAGAAAAAATAACTCAAGCATTAACATCTTTTGTCTTAAAAGAAAAACACAGCAAGAGAGCTTTCAGTGATACAAACAACTTCTTGTAGAAAGGTACATCTCACATCTGGTGTGCTTTTGCACAGTTCACATGATCTTTGCTGTCGTGTGTGTGCTGATAACTTGTCACAGCTTGCCTTATACTTTGTTAGTCTGAGAGCAACACATGAAGCACTCAGGTCATCTGTTAGTCTGTTTCTTGAATCAGATTTGATTGAACTCAAAGCTGAGAAAAGCTACTCACAAGAATAAGGTGATCCAAAGTAAGAGAAGCAATCCCAAATGCT